ATTGAAAAAAAAGACCGTACCCTTTTATGTAATGATGTTTACTTTGAATTTATATTAGTTCACACAAACACTCCATCCATGCTTTTGTTCCGGCCCTCCGGTCCAGTTTAAGAACCCATTGTGGCCCTCGAGTCAAAAAGTTTGCCCACCCCTGCCATAGCCACATGACTTGATATTACTGATGGCAGAAAAGACAGTGTGCCAATTCTCAGTCTAGCTCTTAAAAATTGCAGATGTTGCTAACTGTTCTCTTGTCTTCTGCTATTGCCATGGTAAAAGCATGCTACAGCTAGCATCAACTGAAGAGAAGGATGAAAAACACAGAAAACTAGCAGATCTTCATAAGAAAGAGAACCACCCAGATGAACCCAGCCTACATAAACTCCAGCTGTCCCACAAATGTGTGAGCAGTAATCAATTATTGCTTTTTTAAGCCACTGGGTTAGGGGATGGTTTGTTACACAGCAACAACTACCTAATACCAGAGGGTAGATTACCAAGTCAAATAAATACAACATGAAGATTTAGGAGAATAAGAAAGGAAAAAGTGCCATTGCATTAGGTAACAAGTAAATCTTTGGAGAATTTTGAGACAGCACTTTTAGTTGAATGGTGAAGATGGAAATCATTGATTATAAAGATTTTTAGAAAATCACTTAATCACTATCTCATTTTACCCCGATATAAATGAGAGATAGCACCTCTTCCCATCACAAATCCACCTGTATACATCCCCAAGACATTAAATTCTTCCTGGAAACTATGCATTTTCAAGACCTCAGAAATCATTTGGTCTGGCCCTACCAAGGCACTAGGGGTGAGTTAATTAAATGTTTTACCAAATATAGCAGGCTAATATTTAAGTTGATAATTTTGTATAGCCAGTGAATGATTTTATAAATATCCAAATGGCCCTTGGCAGAAAAAAGGTTCCCCACCCCTGCAGGACTTATGCAAAATGACCATATGAAGGAGCTTGTGAATTGGAAAGCATATCCCAATGGGAGCCAATATTTGTACTGTCACGGATTAGTGGTATACCCCTCTTGGTTGTACTTCTTCATGGTGGTAATGGCAGCAGGACAATGGGAAATGTGCAAAATGCAATTGTGTTCTGTTTTGATAAACCTATTTTTTCCTCCTCTAAGGCTGAGGGTCTCAGAAAAAAGTGGTCTGGAAGGGGAATTCTGGTGATATATTTTCCACCAGAAAATATATCCTATATATCTAATAATTCCTATGTGAATCAGGTTTTAGCTGGATAGTCTCTCCAGGTGCAACTAGGCAAATGAATCCATATTTCTCAAAAGGGTAATCCAGGAAAAGTAAAATAAAAAGTTACTTGTGTTCTGAAAATATTAGATGCAAAGAAGATGCTAATAAAAATGTTTAGTTTTGCTGTTGTAGAATTAATATTTGCAGGAGCTTACCATTAAGCTTACTACTTAATGGTAGCTGGGAAGTCAAACTAGACAATTACTTTTCTCAGCAGGGACGATCACTAAGAGAACAGAAGCCTGGGACTTAACTCTGCTTCACATGGTTTGATAGGACCGTGATGTCAAGAGGGGAAAGAAAAAATGAAAAGAGGAAGAAAGAATGAATGGGGGCGGGGGTAGGGTGGGGGGAGAGAGGCAGGAGAAAAGAAAACCTTGCAGTTAATTTTTTATTTCCATTAATTTTATCCTATTCTGGTTTATAAAGAAAACTTTTGGTTTATGTTAACCTAAGAATGTAATTCCTTGTAACATCAGAATAAAGGAGCCACCTATTGATTTATTATTAGTTGCAATATGGGCATACTTGGCTCTCACAGCCTCAGCATCAGAAAGAAGAAATAATGATTTTAATACTATTTAAACATCTTTTGTTTGTTTGTTTTCCAGAAACATTATTTATTTTTCTTTATTAAGATATTACAAATGTGTCCTTATCCCCCCAATGTCCTCTCATCCCCCCCATCCTGCCCTCACCCTATTTAAACATCTTATAACATGCAAGGCCCAGTCCCTATGTGTGAAATTTTCAATAGGGAGCAAGCCACATCATATCATCCTCTCTGAATTTTTGGTTCAGTGTAGATCACAGAACCTTAACTAAAATGGGTATAGTTTACAAAAACAAGTACTGCCATTTCAAATTTTTGTCTATCTCTACCCTGTATAGGAAGAGTATGGAGTCCAACCCACCTTCAACTCAACCATAAGCTTATTGAGGACAGAACACAAAGGGTAATGCTCTGAACAATGTCCTGGTTTTGAACTAGACTACAGAAAACAGCAGGACAATGATTTCTCACTCAAGTAAAGCATGAAGATAAGAGGCCGTGTCTCTGTAGACCAATCCTGACAGGCCTACCCATCTCAGGATATAGACACAAGAACACAAAGTATCTGTATTCATCATTCAAAATGACACAGACACTAATGCTATCAAATTTCAATTTGCCAAGTTCTTTCTTGTTTATATATCTATGATGAACAAAAATGTAATGTGTGTGTGTATATACACACACAATAATTCACCATTTAGAATTTCCTCTGTTCAGTTTTTGTTTTATTTATTTATTTA